GTGCAAGGTCCTGAGTTCAATTCTCAGTACAAAAAAAAAAAAAAAAAAAAAAGAAAGAAAGTCATCCCCCAAAATATAGCCTAGAGATAGAATGCTTGCCTAGAATGTGTCCAATCCCCGGTACTTCAAAAAGTATTACCCCAAAATAAGTAGTAGAAGAAATGAAAACAAATGCAATGGGTAGAAAACCAGGAGGTAAGAATAGCCCCTAATCACACAACTGGAAGTAAAAAGGGAAAGGGTGAAACCTCCAGGCGGTCCTGAGAGCGGAGGGCTGTGGGTGCCCAGTGAGAGGCATCAGGCTACACCTTGGAGACAGAACACATCGTGTGTTTCTTTCTTTGTCTTTTCTTTCTTTCCTTTTTTTTTTTTTTTTCTTGCAGTAGTGAGGATTGAGCCCAGGGCCTTTGCACTAAGCTACATCCCCAGCCCTTTTTTATTTTTTTTAGACAGGGTCTCGCCAAGTTGCCCGGGCTGGGCTCAGACTTGCTATTCTCCTGCCTCAGCCTCCCAGAATGCTGGGATTATAAGCATACATAACACATCAGGCTTCTTTCTTTTTCTCATACTTAACAATATTTATGTATTTCTTTATCCCAAGATCTTAGCATAGGACTTACCAGATCAAGTCCTAATGAAACCCTGTTGAAGGAATTGAATCATTTTATCTATCCCATATAATAGTTATCATTGTATGAAGACATTTTCCTATAAACTTAAAGAGAATTGTTAAAAAAAAAAAAATTTACTACACCGCTATGTGGAACTTCCATTCTTTCTACTGGAGATGGGACCCTTCTAAACCATAGTCAGAGGAGGAGAATTCTTAGCAATATGTTTTCCCTGATACTGAGTATTTCACTGCTTCAAATACCTATTTGAAAAAATACCAGCCTATCTATCTATCTATCTATCTATCTATCTATCTATCTATCTATCATCTACCTATCCTGTCATGCTAGAGCTTAAGAACTCAAAGTCTCATGCATACTAAACAAGTACTCTACCACTGAGCAATACTCCCAGCCCAGCATGTACTTTTAAATGCAGTATCTGCTCTTTCATTAGCTATGCTTTAGTCTTTCATTATTTTAACTTGGTATCCATGGAGGTCAGGACTTGATAATTACATTCAGCCTTTTGCAATTATTGGTGAGGAACCAGGTAACAGCACTGACATTTAATATTTAATTGTTTTTGATCGCCATTAATTAGTCACAGATGCACACCAGATTCCCATTTAATTAAATACTCTTGGGAACATGTTGTAGGCTCAGGGATTCTAACCACATCTAAAAGCAAACGTTCAACTTTCAAAGTTGAGCCCTAGAGACACAGGCGTCCGTGGAGAGGAAATTCCAGATGTCTAGCGTTCCCCCTTTCCTCAAAAACAAACCCTCTGCTTCTAGGTCCCTGGAATCTCAACTCTTAGCATTTCTTCTGGGAACTTCCAGGCTGTGGTCACCTCCTCTCTCTTTTGAATCATCAGTTTTGCCCTCTTTACTGAATCATTCTTTTCCACATTACAAACATGAGTAATTTCTCCCATTCTAAAAAAGAAATCCTGCTATGGGTCCCACCTCCTCTCAAGCTTATGCCCCTTTTCTCTGGTTTTTTTTTTTTTTTTTTGTTTTTGTTTTTTTTT